TCTCCCATCCTCAGCTGATCTCAGCCATCCCGACCCACCACCTGAAGTTCCTGAAGGAGGCGGGCCACGGCATCACAAAAGAAGAGATCCACAAGGAGGAGATGACCGAGGACACGGATGAGATCGACCACGCCGAGATGGAGCTAAGGAGAGGCCAGATCCTCTGGTTCAGAGGTCTGAACAGGATCCAGACTCAGGTAAGACCGCCAACCAGCCTTTTCTCTTTCCAATGATGTCCTGCAGGATCTGGGGTGTTTTCACAGAGAACCACGGGTCTACTGGAATACCTGCTGTTTGATCACCTTCATGAAGAATTTAAAGAATATTTTTAGCTGTTTTTTTTTTTTTATTTGTGCCTTAAACCAAAGTTTCAAACTGGTAAAACATGAGGACATCAGGTCAGGTTGGTTTAGATGCTTCTAGATCTTCCATGTTGACCCTGCCTTTCTGAGACAGAAGACATCTGGAGAGAAGTGAGACGTGTTGGTTTAAACATCGCACTTCAGATTCTGTTCTTCTTTTTAAATCTGTCAAAGCAGCATTAAAGCTTCGTACCGTCTGCCGTCTTCACAGCACTTTGAAACACAGAAGTTCTGTTAATTTCACACTCTGCTGCAGATCTGCAGCCCAGAACCTCTTCATTAAAACACTCAAATTAAAGAGGCCGACCCACTAACAGCCAGAAGCTTGTTGAGGAAAATCAGGCAGCGAATGAGAGGAGGTGTGGCCCTCAGGGCTCCTTTTAAAAAAGCCATTAAAACAAACCAGGACATAGAACCAGTTTTCCTCCAGTTACAGGATCTCTGGCGCTGTTAACCTGTGATCGTTTCAAACTCTGTTAGCATGGAGGCCTACTGTAGCTGGAGGATCTGCGCTGACCTGTGTATGGCGTGTGTGATTGTTATCATCCTCCTACAGAATCAACACACACTGAGCATCAACATGTCCACAGTCAGTCCATTCTGTCCCTGTTGGCTTCATTAGCCTTGATGCTAGCGCCCACGTCCAGTTACTGCAGCCAACACACACACAGTGTTTTCTCTGTTTGGACCAACTCATACTTCTTTAACCAGAAGGTAAACAAAAAGAGCTGAAAGCATAAATTATCCCTGATTCTGTTTCTGCTCCATTCAGTTTATTTTTCGAGCTCCAATCAATCCATGAAGATTTTCTTCTTCTAGAAGGATTCAGGTACAAACATTCAGTCCTGCTGATGCATCAGATCCGGTTTATTGAACCGGTTGGTGAAACATTGTCTAATTAATCCCAACAGCCGGCATTAGAACCAGTCCCTGGATCGAAACAAGCATACGGTAGCAGTGAGGAGGAACAAATGCCTTTAAACGGAGAGGAACCTCCAGCAGAACCGGAGCAAACTTTTAGCAGAACAGGAAATTTCAAAGAAATATTCCAAGAACATTTTTTTATGGCACAATGCCAGCCTCTGTGCTTAACTGGTAGCGGTGTTAATTGGCACCAGGTGTCTCTGTTACCATAGAAACAAGGTCAGACTCACCCCAATTAACAGGAGTTAGCAGTGAGCTCATGGTGAGCAGCAGCGAATCAAAACACAGCACGGACCAAGTTTAAAACCTGGTTTAATTTGATTGGTCAAATTTCAAGGAGAGGGAAATGTCAGGTTAGCTTTGGAGAAAAAAAAAAAAGTATGATCTTTATTTGGTTTATTTAGGAATAGGGCTGGGTATTGTTCAAAAATTTTCGATACCGATACCTTCACTTCGATACCGGTTCCTGAACGATACTTTTTTCAATACCAGTATTTATAATATCAATTGGAAGAAAAAGAAAATTACACAACATAATAAAGTACAAATCTTGAGTTTTATTTTAAGCTCTGATTTTTCCATTTACATTTTTCCTCTTACACATTTCGTGCACGATGTATTGCATTGCGCACTATTGGCATCAGTCTTAATAAAGTGAAGCCGCACTTTTGACATGGGGGCATTTTAAAGGGGTTCCATGACGCTGCAACCAGTTCACAACAGATACACATGAACCCTGGCTGTAGGCGTGACCACCTGTGTATTTTTCCTGGATGACGCAATCACGTTAAGTGTTACAGCCAATCACCGAAACTTGGCACCGAAAGACGAGGCATGTTTCGATACTCTGTAGAACCGAAGCATTTCGGTCGGTACCATAAAAGAACCAATGTTCGGTACCCAGCCCTATTTAGGAATGATCCAACTCCAGGTTGAATTAGGTCAAACATGCCCAACTGCTTATTGTTAAGGACTCATTAGCAGGTGGTTCTACTCAGCAACAACTGCTCTAAAAATAGAAATGTATTAAGATAAGTGTAATTGCCCTTCGTTTAAGCAGCTAAATAAGACGATCTATAAATGGAATTAGTTTTCACCTTAAAAAAAGAATATAGACTTGAAATAAGATATTGGAGTTGTTTTTTTTTATCTAAGCATAAATATTCTTCTTCCACTGACATACTGTCTCACTTACCCACTCAAAGGTAGAATACACTTATTTAAATAAAATTACTTTATTTCGGTGAGGAAAACTGCAGTTCATAACAGCAGTTCATAAGGATTCTTATTGCATGGATATTGTGATAGAATTATTTTTGCAGTACAAAGGTCTCCATGCACTTTACGCCTCATAAAGAGGGAATCAAACAGTAGGATCAGACATTTCTAACGACTGGGTACTAACCAGGCTTCCATTGGATGGAGCCTCTTAAGGACAGCTTCTGGTTCCAGTCAAAAAGAGAAGCACTGAGCCTGTTGTACTTTCCACAGAAAGAGCAACGTTCAAGGCTACAAACGCTGCAGATTATGATTGATTGGGGGCTTTGTTCTACCTCTTTCAATCCATGCATAGTCTTCAAGAGAGATAGTTTTTAACATCATTTCTACATACACATCTCTACAGAAGAGGATTAGGGCCACTGGAAAAAAAATAGTTAACTGATTTTATTTCAGTTTAGTATAGGAAAAAAGTCAGATTTCTGAGATTAAAGTCAGAATTCGGACTTTTATCCCATACTCAACTGAAATAAAATTTAAAAAATCAGTTAAGTTTTTTTTTTTTTTTCAGTGGCCCTAATCCTCTTCCGTACATCTCTGTACCATATAAATACTTAAGTTCATTTTTATTGGTATGACATGTTGCCACTGGCTGTTATACTGTTCTACAGTGACAATGAATATATAAATAACAAACTCCAAGAAGAGTAAGGAAAGATGGTCATCATGTCCAACGGCTTCCACAGCCTATAGCAGCATCAGCTCCAGCTATAAGCTTTATTGGGAATGAAAGCTTTACACCGAACATTTCACAGCCAGTGAGGAGGAACCGAACAACACCTGAACCCGACGGGTCAGAAAGATTTAGAAGGGAATCAGGTCAGAGTGCTCACCTGGAAAATGAGGAAGCTCTTTTTTTGCGCATGTATCTGAATGATTACAGTCGTCCTGTTGGGACAGGAGGAGGACAAGATGGGGAGGCAACAAAAGGCTCCAAGCTAATTAGGTTCTTATCTCTCAGCGTTCCTCTTCGTGTCGTCCTCCTCTCTAATCCAACGTCGCCGCGCTTGACGCCTCAGCAGTCAAACACAGAGGGAGGATAATTGGTACAAGCAGCACCTCACAGCTGAAACGTTATCAGTCATTCCAAATGACATTTCTCCTCTTCCTCCTGCTCCGCTCCTCTAAGTGATGTAAGCTTCATTCAGGAGCTCCTCATCCATTGTCCAGCTCTTCTTCCATCACTTCATTCCACCAGAGGCTTGGATAAATCAGCGTTTCCACTTCCTCAGACTTCGCTTCACTCTGCTGCCTCTCTTCCTTCATTTTCTCAGCCTCATCCTCTGCTTTCTCCCTCAGGATTTTCCTTTTCTTCACATGTTGCCCAAACTCTCTCTGCCTCATCCATAATGCGGCAACAGTCCTGGACGCCAAATTCAGTTCATGACAGGAGCTCCAACATATGTCTGATAAATTAGCTGCTGAAACTCGGTTCTATTGTTAATCAATGAAACCATGAAACACTTAACAGTCTGATTAGAGGAGGAATAAACATGCTTCTCAGATCAGAACCTCTGGTTCACTGACATTTTCTTGCTTTGTTTGTTACAACCAGAAACTTCTGTTTATTTGTATGAATCTGATAACAGGATTTTCATCTTGATTTAATGGTAAAAACCTTAAAAACACGGTTTTCATCCATAACTCCACCTCAAATGTACCCCCCCTTCACTGCATAGTATCACCACCTATCTAGCTAATCCATCCATGAATCAGGACCCCTTCCAGCTGTTGGGTTGGTCTTGGCCAGCTCACACACACCTGGAAACAAACTTAGGTAGATCGGATGGAGATGGTCTGAACATGAGCTTTAAAGTCTTGTCAGAGATTTTCTCGTTTGCTTTAGGTCTAAACTGGTGGAGGGTAAGCCTCCATTCCAGTCTCAGGTCTTTTGCTGCCTCTAGCCTCTTTCTTCTTGTATTCTCCATCCACCTCCCTTCAACTCTCACCTCATTTAGTCCTATACTGCAAAAAATCTAAATCTAAATAAGTAATTTTTTCTTAAAATAAGTAATTTTTTCCTTGAATTGAGGAGGTAAGTGAGACACTTTGCCAATGGAACAAGAAAATTTACATTTAGAATAAAAAAAAATAATTGCATTGTCTTATTTCAAATGCATATTATCTAATTATCTTGTTCTAAGAGTAAAAATACTCATTCCGTTGGCAAACGATCTTATTTACCTGCTCAAATTAAGAGTAAATTCCAATAATTTAAGAATTTCTAGATCGTTTTTGCAGCATATTCCTGCAGAAAAAAGCTTTGTTTTCCTCTGATCTCTAATAGTATGGAAGTAAATCTGTGTCGCTGGGATTTGAATTAAAAATGCCACTGAAATGTAAATGTTGTATGTTTGTACTGTTTCAGTGTTAAAATATATTCAGAACAAATTTTAGACCTAAAAAAATCATTTTCATTATTTCTACACAGTTGAAATTTCATTTATTTTCTCTTTAAGCTAAAAAATTCACATTACTATTTCAAAGTGATTACCTTTTCAATACTTATTTTTCAGTGTTAAAAAAATCTGCATATAAAAAAATTCAACCTTTCAAAATTCAAACTATATTTTCAGTCTCCTGAGATTCAACTGGCTCTATTTCACCGTCTTAAATTTGGCGTCTAAATTCAGTGTAAAAAGGGAAGGGTTACTTCAGGTCACAGACATTAGCAATGGATTTTGGCGTCCAACACCCAGCCAATCCCGTTACGTTTTTTTAGTCACGTGACGTGACGCTTGTGGCGCTCATACGGTAAGGAAAACCAGCATGACGGAGCCGGTCATGCAAGCTAACACTAACTCAACTACAGAAAAATGAAAGAAATAAACTCACCGTTGAATATTGAGTTTGAATTTTGAAAGGTTGAATTTTTTATATGCAGATTTTATTAACAGTGAAAAATTCAACTGAAAAATCAAGTCAAATCACTTTGAAGTAGTAATTTGAATTTTTAGCTTGAAGAGAAAATAAATGAAATTTCAACTATGTAGAAATAATGCCAATGATTTTTTTTTTTTTTGGTCTAAGATGTGTTTTGAATATATTTTAGTACAAACATGCAACATTTAAATTTCAGTGGCATTTTTAATTTAAATCCCAGCGACACAGATTTACTTCCATATAATAGTTTATTTAGGGGTATTAACCCCTTATAGGGGACTCACCAAAAAAAACTTTCAGGCCAATATTGTTATTGGAATCCAGGACAAAACCTTATTACCTTTTTAACATTTAAAAAAGTATGGATATTTGGATGGCAAAAATTAATGTCAATGTAATAAGAAAATACAACTTGCCCGAATGTATTAAGAAAAACAATAAAAGTGCTACTAGAATAAATTAATGAAAAACACTCTGAGAGTGAAAAATAAACATGTTTTTTTTGGTACAACATAACCTTAAAAGCATTAATGCTGATACTGGCAATTACAATTTTTAGTTTATAAACCTAAATATAATTGTTAACAAGGCTTATTAATGTTTTAACTTTACTTTTTAACTTTTCAATTAGCTTTTTTCTTGTTAACTTTTTCTTAACTTAATTTCCAGTAGATAATATATAATTCAAAGGCTCATCTAATTGGTCAAATGCCAAAGTAAGATGTACAGCCTGTAGCAGCATATTTGCTGAATGGCTGGATATAGATCTTGTGCTTCTAGACCTCACTGAGGGACGGGGGGACTGTATTTGTAAGGGGATGCAAGGGATCAAAACGCGAACTTGTCATATAAAGGATTAAAGTAAACGGCACAGAAAACCATTCAAACAAGAGGTTACATGTTATATTTGTTAATAATTTCAAAGCCATCCATCTTTTTGTCTCATATCATTGCATAAAATAATAATAATAAATGACTTTGAAATCTGTGGCTGCACTCTGCAAAGTGCTGAAAGCTCTGAATGAAAGGGGGGGAATCCATCAGATGGTGGTTTAGAGGTTTCGTTGCGGTGGATTCTCAGAGCTGCTGTTATCTGAAGGAAACAAACCTCTTTCCTCTGATCTCTGACATCTTGACGAATGGCTGTTCAGATCTGGCTTTGTCTAACACTCTAACTTCTCTTCAGCTCCTCCTGCTCTCCTCTGTGCCGTCCTCTCGCTCTGTGTCTGCTGTCTAACTGTGGCTGTCCTCCCCTCAGATGGATGTGGTCTATACCTTCCAGACGGGCCAGGCGCCGGTGCCCGGTGCCCTGCGCCGCCAGCCGTCCGTCGTCAGCCAACACAATGATGCCACTGCCGCAAAAACTCTCTCTAGCCCCACCCACGTAGGGCTTAGCTCCTCCTCCTCCCTCACCAACTCGGCAGGGGCAGCGCCCCCTGCTGCTGCTTCCTCTTCCACTGCAGGCAGTGAGTCTGTGACCTGAGGCCAGCTCACCCAGCGCCCAACGCCAGGCTGGACTCTGTTTATTCTGCATGAAGCTGCGTCTGTCCTCAGCAGGTGTCTGCATGTCCTCATCTGATCAAACCAACCAGTCAGAGAGATCTAAGACTGAGCGCCAGTAGAACCAGTCAAACCAATGCTCCACTAACCGCAGAATCTATTGGACAGCTTTAATAAGATTAAAGATAGTCTCTGCAGCACAAAAGTACAAAAACGACTGAACTGTAAAAATAATGAGCTGAAATAAACATCTTTAAACTGTGCTGCAGGAGACGATGGGTCCACTCAGGGTCGTAAGTTCAAAGAGCTGCAGCAACTAGATTTTCAAGCTCGGTGTCTCTGACTCAGAGTCAGAGTTAAATTCTGGACCTGCTGGGTTCCTGCTGCAGTCCGAGCATCGCATTCAGAGAACATGCAGACCACCTGCTTCGTTTCCTCTGCTTCATCTTCATCTTTCAGTTGAAACTGTCATGTAGTCAAAGTGCAGCTGTTGCTCCTGCATGTTCTGGACGTTTTTCCTGCAAACCTCTGCAACGACCTGGTGAGACTTGCTGCCGATGAGTCAGAGGAGGAGAGGAAGGCTTCTGATTGGTCACTGTGAAGGCAACAACACAACCATAAATCTGTTTAGTCGCTTCCTCTTCCGCCCAGAGGCAGCAGCCTGGTTACCGAGATAATTTTATGGGTTAATCCCGAGAAGGTTTGAATCTGTCGGGCTTAGCAAGTCTCTCATGGTTTAACTGTGTGTGTTTTCAGCTTCAGCTCTTCTGTGGTTCAGGGATTTGAGCTGCAGGTTATTAATTATGATGAAGAGTGTGTGCTGGTGCGTATAAATCAGGCTGATCAGCAGCAGTGGATTCATCAGAGTAGTTAGAGGACAGAGCAGGATTAGGAGCTAAACAAGGTGATGGTAGTTTCTTCTACAGAGTTCTGTCTGAGGTTTCCCATCATGGTGAAGCCAGCCCATTATTTCTGATTATACAACTGATTCAGTAAAAAAAATAATACTGAGGCTTATAAACGCAAGACAGACCTTTAGCAACGCTGAACCTCCCCTTCTGGTTCTGATGCACCAGTTGCCATGGTTACATAATGGGGAATCGGTTTGAGGCTTTGGTCTTGGTGTGAAGTTTACTGTGGGACCTGTATGGTGGGTTAGTGTCTGTCTAATGAACAATAGGAACCGTATCCTCAAACTGAGTCTCTGTTTATGACCAAGCAGCAGGAAACCTGAATCAACGGGAAAATTAGGACGGATCAATGCAGCTCCGTTCTCATCTGAGGGAGTTAATATCAAATCGGTCTCCGCCAAGTGACGTCAATTGTTTACCTCGGGCGCGGTACACTACGCCTTTTCCACCTAAAATGGTGTCCTAGCAACAAATGTCACGTGACTGGCGGAGACCGATTTTCCTAAATCCGCCCCTGTTTTCAGGCTTATGTTAACTGTAATGACTTATCTTGGACAGGCTGCTATG